CTACCTCCAGGACGGAAATCACACCCTGCTTGAGTTCCAAAGACAGACGAGTGGCGCTGTGCATTGAACGGGCTGCCTGGGAGTCAACCCTTGTCTGACGCGGAGACGCAAGGTCACAGAAGGCGCCCCGGAGGCTCCGACCGCCTGGGTAGTTGGCGGAGCATGCCCCTTTTCGCGGCACCGATAGGCCGGGGTGCGAAGAAGACGTCTTGAGGCCGTCCGAGATGTGTTTTCCCAGGGTCGGCGGACAGCGACACCCTCTCTGGTCCTCGTCGTACTGGTCCGGGTCCCGGCTTCCGCTCCAAGATACAAAAACTTCGTTCCGGTCCGTCATTGAATGATAAGCCCCCCCCGAAATGTTAAACGTAAATCGTACGACGTGGCAGCCCGCAGAGCATCGACTGCCTGTTATGGGAGCCATTTCCGTCGACGAGCGAATACTAGCCAGCGGAGGCTCTTCAATGGAACGGGAACCATGGTCGGCCGGCGTCGATGCATAGCCTGTGCACAAATCGCGACTGGGCACTCTGAGCACGGCGTGAATCGATGCCGGAGTCTTCGGGTCAAGTCGAACGTCAGCTTCGAGCAATCCCATCCATGACATGAAGAGCTACATTTCTGGTTGATGCAAGTTTTGAATTGAAAAAAAGAAAGGTACTCACGGTCAAGAAACGTCTCTGATACTCCTTCCGCTAGGGACGAAGAATGAAGATGATGAGGGCGGCAAGGCCGGCCACAGCCTGGATGGCAACAATGCCGCCCAGTACTCGTTTCAGATTGTCGTGGGAACCTTCGTCGTCGTCTCCGGGGCCCCTTTTTCCGTTTCGCGCTTCAACGTCGATGCTGTGCGCGCTGGTGCTGTTGCGCCTGTACCACGCCATGGTTGACGGCGGATGTTCGCGGGGAGAGAGATGGTGAACGGAGGTCGATTTACGTGTCATCAACAGACGTCAAGTATGACCAGACAAGGGCGGAGTGAGCAGAATGGTGATGGATTTGGCCTATATGTATATATCTTTTTGGGGCGCGCGCGATCAAGGCCGACGTTAAAGGGGGGGGAGACGTTGGTGTACATGAGAAGGGGGGGGGGAAGGGGGAGAGCGATAGCGGTAACGAAAACGAGAGCCAAGGCCGTAGGTATTATTCTAACTCGACCCGGGGCGGAATCCCCCACTCGCCTCTCTCGGGGTCCTTTTTTCTTCTTCTTGCCAGTCTTTTGCTGCGCGTTGCTGTCGAGCTTTCCATGGCTTCCGGTGACTGGGACGCGTGGAGTCTGCCTTGCGTTACATTGAAACCGAAACCGAAGATTCCGTGTGGTGAACCTCGGGTCCTACGGGCACTCCGGTGCGCCCCTATAGGCCCGAATGCATGAACACGACTTGCTGACTTTGTAAAAGACTGAGATCTGCAGTATCCAGTTCGCAGAAGCAGGTACGCGGGCATCTTCAATTGCTGGTGGTCCTGGCGAGACTTTGGGTGTTCAAAAGGGTGGCATCTCTGGTGAGGGACTGGCGTGGAGCCCAGAATTTCAAAACCCCTCCACCAGGTGAGCGGCGGAACCACGCGCAACGATAAGAAAAACGCAAAAACAAAAAAAAACCTACTCTCCTCTCCCTCCCTTGAGAAAGTATAGCGGTCGTGGTATCGCTCCTGACTGACGTAGTCAGGCCACTCAAATCCCGAGGGGCTGCCGTATACAGGCCTCGAAAATAGAGTGCGTGGGGCCAAGGCACCCCTGCATTGGCGGCTTCGAGCACATATACACGGGAGATCTGTATCGTCCGTTCTGCCAGAGAAGGCACGGGGCAAGGAACGATACTGGCCCCCACGTTGTTGGCAGAGGGGTCCCTGGGCACATGGCCCTCCTCAGCACAGATTCGACAGGGGAAGACGGGTCTCAAAAGGAGGCCACGCCCGCTTCGTCTCACACCATGGTATCAGTTTCGAAGGCACACAGGGCATCATGTCGGTTTGATTCATTGGAACTCATTTTGTCTCTCTCTCTCTCTCTCTCTCTCTCTCTCTCCCTCTGTCTCCTCTTGGACTGAAATCTCGCGGCTGACTGTGGGATGATTTAGCTTCAGGTCAGTGATGACCAGAGTACAACACCAACTCGGTGGTGACAGCGTTGCAGCCGAGCGTGGTACCTGAACAGGCACGAGTACGACCCGCGCCAGCTTCCCCGCATTGACCAGAAGAAAAAGTCTTGTCTCCACGGCGACTCGGCCGCTGCGTCGGGCTGGGAAGTTCCACTGGTGGAGGATACCGGCCGGGAGGACGGCAGCACAAGGTCACGCACGGCACGGCAAGGAGATGAGGCGCGCTTTGCAGTATCATCGTGTTGTATTGTCCTACGGAAGAGCTCAACAGTCGGCATGGGCATGCACGAGTGTGATTTGCGGTTGCCTGCCTGCCTCAGCCCGCCCGCTTATCAC